TGTGTGTGTGTGTGTGTGTGTGTGTGTGTGTGTGTGTGTGTGTGTTGGGTGAGTGGTGATGGTGGTCATTAGGTAGGGGAATTTATACATTCCCCTTTTTTTTTGCAGCAAGGACCCAAACTACCTCCCAGGAGGAGATGCCTCAGTGCATCATAATAATACCACATTTTTCTATGGCTCTAATCAACCTATTACACAATATGATTTGCTGAGCTTTTCCTGAAAGCGGTGGGATTTGAGTGCTCTCAAGGGTCTTCACTGCAGGAGGAAACACTGTACCTAAGCTGATGTAGAGACAGTCAAGAGATTCTGAGATGAGCACCAGTTTTTGGGGGAAGCATGCCCGGGATGTGACTTGGAAGAACGGATCCGGACTTTTGGGCACAGAGCATCATCTCACTGGGAATCTGGCTCTCAAGTACTGAATCTGGAACAATTTCCCTCTATGCGAATGCCATGTTGGCCAGGGATAGAAACCACATGGTTGCCATGAACTCCTCCATCGAGATGAGTGGGTACGGCTCTGCTTGAAGCTCTCATTCCATTCATGGAACAAGATGACATGCGGGGCTGTGCTATTTTCCAGACACCTTACTTGCTCAAGTAAGTTCACGTAAGGTGTGCAGAAGCCAGTTCCAGTGGGAGGCATTTAGCCCTGGCAGCCTCGGAGAGCACTTGCCAGGGGAAGAAACTACACATGGCTGCTTCAGGAGGCTGAGAGGAAGTCAAAGCAGACTGAGTGAAGAGGTGAGAAAGCCCACAGAGTGACAACTAGAGGGAGGAAGACAGTTACCAGTGAAAAAGCATTAGGTCGAGGTGTCCAGTGAGAGACAGCTGAGGATCCCCATAGATTGTCCCTGGTGCACAGAAGTGAGAGTAAGGGAACTTTGCAGGGCTGTACGGGAGGGTAAACTGCCCCAGAGCGTAATCTCCTCACAGTGGAATCAGCCAACGCCCCATGTGGCATGCAAGCATCAGTCTGGCTCCAACCCCTTAGATTTTCCATTGTAAATTAGCATTGCCTACTTTATTGTCCCCCAATGCATATGTGTTCTGTAATTTATCAAAAAACTAGCAACCACATGAATTCCTCTGTATACACATAGTAGTTTCAAATTGTAATGACTCTGATTTTTCTCCTGTCACATGGCTGTTAAATTCAGAACAAAGTGTTTAGACTATAGGAATGTGAAAGTCCTGTTTACTGAAAATAACGCATATTTGAAATAATATTGTGATAAGCAAAAGGTACATATTTCACATTCTGATTCAATACATGGTATGCACAGAGTAAAAAAATCCTGGAAAGCATCTTCCATTTCTAAAATTCTTAGAGTCTGAGAGACAGAAACAATAAAAATATTTCTATAAATGCTTTTGGTAAACAGTCTCAAGATCAGAAAAAACAGTTTATCTAGCAAGTTATTATGCAATAAATGTAAAGAATGTCAAAACAATCCAAGTTTACAAATCAATTCTGAATATTCTTAGTTCTTCACAATCTATTAGCTTATTCCCACACTCAATTTCTGGTTTACAACCATATAATACTCACATAGGTTCTATGCTTTCACCTTTATAATATTAAGTGCCAGATATCCAAAACCATCAAAATGGTCCATTAAGTTTCAAAACAATTTCTCCACAAATGGTTGGCATTTGATTTCTGAAGACTTATTTATAATTTTGTAATAGGAAAAAAAAAAAAGAACACCCCCCCCAAAAACAAAACAAAACAAAACAGAGAAATACAATGAACTTACTTTTGAGAAATTTGAAGCAAGTAATCTAGAAACACATTTTATCCACTGGTCTCCTTATTTAAAAGAAAACGATTCATGTTTTTCCTGGTCTCTACTACATCTCTAGAATTTGCTTTAACCGTTTGACGTCTGTGAAAAGTTCTTGTGGAGACTGCTTTCAAAAAGAGGTTATGATGTCAGTTCTGTGGGCCCTGCCAAATATCACATTCACGTGGTTACCTTGGACTGTTTGTCTTTTGACATTCAGCCATTTCCTGCTGAGCAGTGGCATTTGTACTTGGTTGCCTGGCCATATCGTATTATAAAGAACAGTCTTATAGAGGAAATCTAATATTTGTAGATTTCTCCATTATGTCCAAGATGATTGTGGCTAATACCAATTTTTAAGCACTGTCTTGAAACCATGAAGAAGGAAAGAGTTTCATCAGAGAAAAGCTTCTCTCTATACAGAGCTCTAAACTGCCTGATTGATATCATCACTTGGGTAATCAGGATTTTTATTCCTCTGTGTCTCGTTTTCATTCAGTTCAGAACATTTTCTAATCTCCCTCGAGACTTGCTTTTTGACCTATGAATTATTTAGAAATATGTTGTTTCATTTCCAAGTACCTGGTGATTTTCCTGTTATCTTTGGTTATTGATTTCTAGTTTAATTCTATTATGGTCAGAAAATTTATTTTGTACGTCAGATTTCTTAGAACTTGTCTTAAGACCCAGGATATGATCTAGCTTGGTGAATATTCCACATACACTTGAAAAGAGACATATTCTGCTATTGAGTGAGGGTGTTATTACATAAATATCTATTAGACCTAGTTGGTAGATGGTGTTGTTTTTCTATATTTTTGTTGGTTTTCTCTCTATTAGTTCTGTTGATTATTAAGAGAGGAGTATTGAAGATTTTAACAAAAATTAGACTTTTCTTTTTCCTTTCAGATCTAATGGATTTGGCCTCATATAATTGGCACTGTGGCATTAGGTACATATACATTTAGGGTTGCGATGTCTTCTTGGTGAATTGGCCTTTTTATCTTTATGTAATGTCCAACTTCATCCCTGGTAAATTTCTGTGCTCTGAAATCTACTTTGTCTGGTGTTAATATAGCCATTCCTGCTCTCTTTTGACCAGTTGACCAGATGACTTTCTATCATTTCAATATTCTTTGCTATAATTAAAATTTCAGCGAGCACATTAATCAGGACATTTGCTTCGACTCTTTGTTTTCTGATGCATAAACACTTTGTAGATGATTGAGCCACTCAGTTCTGAGTACTGTGCCCTTTTGCAAATATTCACAGATCCATGAACTTCAAACAGAAGTTTCCCGGATGCTTCGGACTTGGGTAAGATGTAGCAGATTGTGTCATGTCAATGTTTCTACTACAACAACTACAAAGAAGCCAGGTAAATTTCTTATTAGAAACCATGAAAGCCAATAGCAATGGAGCCACATCATTATAGTACAGGAAGAAATTAGTCCACTTAGATTTCTAATCAAAAACTATTTTTTGGTAAAACTATATACCAAAAATGAAGACAAAACAGACACTTTCCAGAAAAAGAAAAATAGCAGACAGAATTTGGTACACCGCAAAAATGTTAAGAATACATGTCCAACACTAGAGTAGCCAGTATAAATCAATCAATCTAATATGCCAATAGCAGAGATAAATTGGTATAGTAAAAATATAAAATGGTACATCTGACCCAACCATTTCAATAATTATACTAAATACAAATAATCAAAGCATTCTAACTGTGAGATTCCCAGACTTAATTAATTAATTAATTAAATTTATTTATTCATTAGCTGGGCCATCTTGCCACCTGTTGGCAGCTCAGCAGCAGCTCAGCTTGTGTGCAGCTCACTGGCCCATGTGGGAATCGATGACCCTGTTGCTCAGAGCTCGCACTCTTGAGTGAGCCCTTAACCAACTGAGCCACCCAGATTTAATTTTAAAAGTGTGACATAAATGTAGGCTGTCAGCATATATATATTTAAAAAAAAGCCCATTTTAAACTTAAAGACAAAAAAATCAAACCTAAAACAATGGGAAAAGGTATTCCATGGAAATACTAGTCACAGGAAAGCTGGTGTGGCTGTATGAATATGATACAAACTAGACTTCAGGACAAGAATTATTGTCAGAGATAAAGAAGAACATTTCCTAATAATATANAGACCAATATCTCTGATGAATATAGATGCAAAAATTCTCAACAAAATATTAGCAAACTGAATTCACACATTAAAAGGGTTAGACACTATGATCAAGTAGAATCAGACACCATAATCCCTGAGATGCAAGGATGGGTCAATAAAATGTCATACACCACATGAATAGAATGAAAGATAAAAATCATATGATTTTCTCAATAGATGCAAAAAAAATGTATTTGACAAAATACAACATCCTTTCATGATAAAAACCCTCAATAAACCAGGTATAGAAGAAACATACATCAACACAATAAAGACTATACACATCGAGCCCACAGCTACCATCGTACTCAATGGTGAATGGCTGAAAGCATTTCCTCTAAGATCAGAAACAAGACAAGGGTGTCCACTCTTATTCAACATAGTGGCCTGAATTCTTCACCCCTACTTGTGGCCCACCCTTAGTCTGGTAACTTTGTAGCTCCTTCCATAGAGCCAGCTATAACTTTGACCAGCAGAGGGAGATGGGGGTGATGATGTTCCGTTTCTGAGCCTACACCTTAGAAGGGCTTTGAGTGTATCTGTGTGCTCCGATGGCTCCACCGCTGTGACAAAAGCATACCTGGGCTAGCCTCTGGAGGATGGAAGGCACAGGAAACAGAGCTGAGCCAACCCAGGCATCCCAGTTTAGAGTAGCCTACAGCAGACGATAGCCAGCCAAGCCCCAGAGATGTGAACAAGCCTATCTAAGATCAGCGGAGCCTCTTAAGAACCACCCCAGGTATCCCAGCTATAAATGCTTGCTGTTGTACGTTATTTGTTGCTTTTTTTTTTTTTGCCATGCAGCAATAGACCACAGATATGTTACTTAGGATTGTCAATTTAGCCTCTACAATATTGATAGTTCTTTGGTTTTAGTGACATTTTATTTTTGATGTTCTCCTTAATCATTTTGTGGTCAGAGGAGCTACTACTTGTAAGATACTACTTCTTTGAAATTCCTTGTGACTTCCTTGGTGGTGCAGCATATTTTAACATTTGGAAATATTCCACGTGTACTTGAAACAAATGTATATTACCTTTTAGCTTGTTTTGTAAATATCTATTCAATCTGCAAAATTTTGTTCTTCAAATCTTCAGCATTCTTTCTTATGTTATGAGATTAATCATCTCATGATAGAATTCTCCATTCCAATAAAATTTTCCATTCCGATGAAATTTTCCAATCTGATCATAGGTTTGCCAATTTCTTATT